AAAAAAAAAAAAGACCTCTTTCAAGTGCTGAAGAGCAAAGATATCTCCTTGAAGACTAAGGTGCACCTAATCCAAGCCCTGGTATTTTCAATCGCCTCATGTGCGTGTGAAACCTGGACAATGAATAAGGAAGACTGAGGAAGAGTGGATGCTTTTGAGTTGTGGTGCTGGCGAAGAATGCTATTTGGAAGCGAGAATGGCCAGACATCTTCTCACCTACTTTGGTCATGTTGTCAAAAGGGACCATTCCCTGGAGAAAGATGTCATGCTTGGTAGAGTGGAGGATCAACAAAAGAGGGGAAGGCCCTCAACAAGATGGGTTTACACGGGGGCTATGGCAATGGGCTCAGGTATAGTAGAGATTGTGAGGCTGGCACAGGACCAGGCAGTATTTCATTCTGTTGTAAGTAAGGTTGCTATGAGTCGGAGCCAACTCTACAGCACATAGCAACAGCAACAGTATTGTAAGGGTTCATGGCAGACACCAATGAGAAGTTCTACTCTTGAAAATAGTTCTTCAAGTCCCTCAAAGACCAAATGTTAAAAGTTCATGCTCCTTAAACCGCTTGTCCCAAGTTTTGATGTAGTCAGCTAACAACTCTGAAAAGTCTAAGAGGAAAGAGGTCTTAAAATGAAGTAGTAATAATAATGATATTCTGAGATCAGAAACCCATGAGCTTCCTAATCCTGAATCAGAAGTGTCAACATTAAAGTACTGAAGTCCTATAATCCCAATGCTGTTAGTTGACTGACTGAGAGCAATCCTATAAGACAAAGTAGAACTGCCCCCCAGGGTTCCCAAGGCTGGGATCCTTATGGAAGCAGACTGCCTCATCTTCCTCCCACGGAGCAGCAGTGGGTTCCAGCTGCTGACCTTTTGGTTAGCAACTAGCCGCCTGACCACTGCACCACCAGGGCTTGTAAAACCCTGTAAGTCTCCCTTAATCACCCCGGAAAATATGTTCAATTTGTTGCACACAAAAACCAAAAACAAAACTATATATTCTTTTTAAATCCAAGATAAGAGAGATTCTCCACTGTCTGTGTGGATCAAGCAGTTAATGAATTCTTCTGAAAGACACAGGTCATCTTACAGCTCTACAATGGTAGTGTTATTTCCATAAAACGCTCTTAGATAATCCTCCTCCAATACGGCAGCTAGAGCCCCTGGGTGGTGCCAATGGTTAAGGGGCTCGGCAGATAACCAAAAGGTTGGAGGTGTGAGTCTCCCCAAAGGCACCTTAGAAGAAAGTGCTGGCCATCTACTTTGGCAAAACCAGCCAGTGAAGCCTCCATGGGGTGTGGCTCTGCTCCCCACATAAGGGGTCACCATGAGTCAGGACTGACTCGATGGCAGGTAGGATGGAGACTACACAAACAGAAAAACCAAACTCATCCTTCAGTTGATTCTGACTCACAGTGACCCTCTGGGATGGGGTAGAACTGCCCCATAGACTCTTTATGGAAACAGACTGCCACATCTTTCTCCCTCGGATTGGCTGTTGGGTTTGAACTGCTGACCTTTTGGTTACCAGCTAAATGCTCAACTATCGTACCACCAGGGCTCTCAAACAGCAAGCAGGCCTTAACTGAAACTGTCCAGGCAGGAATACTCCTGCAGGAAAAATGGAGGTTGGTTTGTTACTGACCCTTACTGTGATAATACAGGAAGGAAGAGTAAACATTTAGAAACTTTTATAGCAGTTTGACAGAGAAAGCATTTGTCTATTGAATTGAATTTACGTAACAAAAAATTAGGGCTTTACAACAGAGGAAAGAGTTAGGAATAGGAGGAGGTAATGTGTGGCTAACGATGAACAAGTGCCTCCTTTGCCACGAGACCAGAAGTGGATGGTGCCTGGCTCCCATGACTGAATATCTTGATCCAAGATTCCAATAGAAGAGTCCTGATCAAAAGGGGGAAAATAAAGAACAGAATTTCAAAGGCTCATGGACTCTGGACTTTCTGGAGCCACGGAGGGTATATGAACCCCTGAAACTACTGCTCCGAGATCATCTTTAAACCTTAAAGCAAAAATATGCCCTGATGTCTTCTTAAAACCAAACAACAGTTTTTGGCTCACTAGTACAAACTGTCTGGCTTGAGCAGTGTGCTCTTTTGTGAACTATGTATATGGGGACCAAACAGACAACAGAAACTCTAGGGGGCAGTGAGTTCAGGTTAACACGGGAGCAATAACCAGAAAAGGAAGGTGCGCGTGTCTGCACAGCTCAGACTGTGACCAGTGTCACTGCACTTGACACACAGAAACCTGAATGGGTATATAATTTGGGATGGATAATCTCAACAACCAATAAAATCAAGGGAAAAAATATTAGAGCTTTCAACAAAAACACCTCTACCATTAACATACGCGTCATATACTCGTTTTTTCTTTCCTCTTTGGCACATCACAAAGGTACATGAATGAAAAACACCTATACCTGAATTAAAAGGAGCTCTGGTAGCACAGTGCCTAAGGCACTTGACTGCTAACCAGAAGGCTAGTGGTTCAAACCCACCAGCCACTCCCTGGAAGGAAGGTTGGGCAATTTACTTCTGTACTGATACCTCCCCGAAAATCCCAGGAAGGATCGCTATGAATCGGGTCCAACTCGATGGCAATGCGTTTGGGTTTTTTTGTTTGTTTGTTTCTGGTGGTGCAGTGGTCAAGGCACTCAGCTGCTCACCAAAAGGCTCGTGGTTTGAACCCACCAGCCACTTTCGTGGAAGGAAGGTGAAGCAGTTCACCTCCATAAAGGTTGACAGCTTTGGCAACCCCACGGGGCAGTCTCACTCTGTCCTACAGGGTTGCTATGAGTTGGAATTGACTTGATGGCAGTGGGATTTTTTTATCTGAATAGAAAAAATGGTCAAAGAATCAGAAAGGGAAGAAAGTTGAGGATGAATATGTGTTGGAATCCTGTGGATGCAATCCCATTTGGGAATGAGACTTTTTTTTGTTGTTGTTATGTTAACATGGCCATTATCAGTGTCAGGGTGTGCCAAACCCACTCACCTTGTTGTTGTTGTTATGTGTTGTGACTCAGTGACCCCTCCTTGGGTTTCCAAGGCATACCAGAGGACTGGCTGGTAGGTTGAACCTGTGGTAGGTTTCAGCGCCAGCCTTTTGGTTAGCAGTCAAGTGCCTTAGGCATTATGCTACCAGAGCTCTAAACACTCACTTTAGAGATAAAAAAAGAGCAGATGAGGTGAAGAGAAACAAGGACAAAGAGAAAGGAGGAGGATGGGCTAGGAAAATGCTGAGAAGCCCAGATAAGGCTCCCCTCCCACTGAGTCCCTGTCTTCCTCCCCAGCTGGTGCCCTGAGTTGGGACTTATGGCCTTAACTGTGAGAAACCAAACCAAAAAAACCAAACACAGTGCCTTGAGTTGGTGCAAAGGCCAATGATCTGTTACATAAACATTCACCGAAAGGAAAAGACAACAAGCGTGAACCGCATGGTTCTTACATGAACTCATGTGGGAGCCAGTGCTGAAACAGTTATGTCAGTTGCCTCAACGAAGCTGTAAAATAAAGACACACTTAACAGTGCGCATGAAATGACGGATCTGGCTGTAATGAAATGTCATCTCTCAGAGAACTCTCCTACCCAATACAGAATCTTGATACAAAGGGACGTAGCAGATGCTGGGTGCCTGGCAAGTGCCACACTCTGTCACACACTGTCACTGATGACAGACAGGTATCTATGGAAACGCTTGCTTCCATACACAGTAAGCAAGCATCTGCGATCAGATTTATTGTGCCTTTCATTTCTTCGGCTAAACAACTTTAAATAAAGAAGCTACAACCACTAGTAGCCTTGGTCCTCTACCCACAGATAACACCACTTTTCTTAAAATACAGTTTCACTTTAGATGGGCTGAGGGATTGAAGTGTGTCCTCCAAAAATCCCTTTTGGGAATGAGCTTTGTTATGTTAATGAAGCAGTATAGGTATGGGGTGTGTCTTTAATCTCTTTTGGGATACAAAGGAGCAGATTAAGTAGAGATAAGGGAAGAGAAAAGCCAACAATTTGAAGACTGCCAAAAACAGAAACTCAAGGAGACAAGGACCTTCCTCAGGACAGAAAGCCTCCCCTTGAGTCAGTGTCCTGAACTCAAGACTTAACAGCTTCCTAAACTGTGAGAAAGAAGCTCTGGTAGCATAGTGCCTAATGCACTTGACTGCTAAGCAGAAGGCTGTCGGTTCAAACCAACCAGCCACATAACAACAAACTGAGAAAACATACTTGCTTGTTAAAGCCATCCCTTGTGTTTATGTTACAGCAGCACTACAGAACGCAGAGCAGACGGGGGGACTCAGAGCCTGAATTTCTCTCAGTTGAAGCAAACACTGGGTCTTCAGCAGCACTTGGGCAGATACCACAACAGATTTCTCCAAGCTCCCCAAATCTCTACCACATCCGCTGGCCAGCAGCAAATGGGGATTAGTGGGTTCTTGATAACTGAGGTCCTGCTCCAGAAGTGTTTGAGTGAGAAAAACAGCAGGATGGGCAAGCCCAACCTTCACCCCAAGATAGGTCTCCTCAAAGTGAACAGATTGGATACAAACTGTAACTAATACACTGTCAGTCAGGGCAAGAGTGGAGGCACCCAGGCAATGCTCAAAGGCTGGGAAGAGCCTCCCTGCACCCTGCCCCAGCCAGAAACACCACGTGAGTGGGCAGCGGGGGACCTGGTTCCATGATGCAGCTGTTTAGCTGTGAAGACAATCACTAGTCGGATGGAGACTGGTCTGGGAAGGCTCCGACGGCAGGCACAGGGTGTCCTATGGACAGTGTGCTTTCCCCTCCCTTAAGATTGTCTTGGAGAAAGGAGTTCACTCAGTTCTCCCAGACAATGGCTTATCCACCTGTCTCCAGGGTCCCAGAACATCAAGCAGTGATTGTGTGATAATGCTCAAGAAGTGATTCTGAATGACTTTTTAAAAATCTCTGTGAATGACTTGCTGCTAACCCTGCAATCCTGCCTGACAATGAACAAGTTAAATACACCTAACGTTTCTTTCCGGAAGCAGCTCTTTACAAGTGTACTAGAAAAGATAGCTCTTTTTCATATTTGGAGCCTGATATTAGCCTTATAAAAAATAGGAATAATAAATAGTAATAAAAAAGACTTCATTGCCAGTTTCAATGGCTAAGGGCAGGCCATGTGGACACTGTATCTTCCGACTGGATGGCACAGAGGGCCTTCTGATGTTCTTGTCCCCACTGCTACTGCTGTTACTGCCAGACTGACTGCCCTCCACTCGTAAAACTATGTAACTGTAAAACCGCTCACTGGTGTCATCAGCCATTCTCTGGCACTTGTTAAGGAAGTGCCAATAAATACTTCAAAGGTTTAAGATAATTAAGGAAATGATGACAGCTCATTCCCACCATGTAATTGGTCACATGGATGCTAACTGACAATTTGTATCCGCTAGTCATTTACAAGATGTCTTGCTGCATAAGCACCTTAGTGTAAAAGCAAACTTTGTAAATTAAAGGCTGGGAGCTGAACTTGAACTTGATATTCCAGGCTTCATTGACAAGTTCTCATTAGACGAAAGCACATATATTTTAAAAAGAGCCTCTTGTATTTTTCCTTGAATCACACATGAAAGAACTGAAATTCTTTACCCCCTCCCTCTCAGTGCGTTTCCAGCATGCATCTCTCCACTGAAGGACACAAAATGCGGCCACGGTGACCCACCCACGGTCTCTTTTCATTTTTCTTTCCTTACCACCCAGACTCTGCTAGCACTCAGGGCGAGAGCAGGCTTCCCGTCCTGCCTCTTTCAAACCAAGACAGGATTCCAACAAAATTCAGAGCTGTCCTACAACCGTTAGAACCAGAAATGCAGTACTCACCATGAATATCCCCTTCTCCCTAGAAGAGAAAAACATCGAAAAGGTTACTTACGATTTTGACTCTGTAACCCACAAACACAGCAACCACAGTTCATAGTAACTAATATCTATTTGAAAGCAATATGGAATTCCATTTTTCAAATATCTATTTTATTTATTTTTTGGTGCTATTAAGACAATGAAAACATTCACCAGTTCAAGTTACGACATACACAGTTTAGTAACATTGATGACATCTTTGAGTGGTCAACCTTTCTCATCCTCTGTTCTGAGCTGTCCTCTCCCCTTAACATAAGCTCACTGCCCTATCTAACCACTGTTCTGTCTGTTCTTTGGAGATGCTGTTGTCAGCTTGATCCCATGTAGACAGATCCTGAAAGAGCACAAGGCAGACATTCCTTACTAGTTAAGCTAAACTACTCTTTGGTTTTAAGAAGACTTAAGAAGTTTTGGCCCCAGCGCCAGTAACACACATGAACACCAACGCTTGACCCAATGAGCACTTCAGAGGGGCTTCTATGAGAATGGGTAGACCTGGCCTTCCATTTCTTTCTTCCTTCTCCTCAAACAGCTGCTGCAGAAGCAACTGATGTCCCAAAGTCCCCTTACACCTTTGCACGCCCCACTCAAACTGTTGCTGCCTCGGGGGCTCTGAGGTCCCTGGTCAGGAGAACCTGCTACCTGTACACACCCAAGGCCCTTGGCAGTGCCCATGCCCAGGCACCCGAATGCCACTGCCACTGCCAGTTTCCCAGAGCTCAGCTCAGAGCACTGGGCAGTGGTTGCAAACAGGGAAACAGTCCTTGAATTCAGAAAGGCCACCATCTATGGGACACACAAGGAGGGAGTGTGATACAGATAAGACTACCTACATGAATAAAAAGGACTTTGAGTAGATCAAGGTCACGTCATGTTCACTCACTCTTCTGACTTCCCTCTCTATCTGTCAATCTCCCATCATCAACAAGGTCCCTTTCTGAAACACTTCTACGTAAAATTCCAGTGGCAGAATTAAAACCCTTAGTCAAACGAGGAGAAATTTCATTTCTAAAACATATGCATCGCAAAGTCCTTCTTTTTCCTCATGTCGTGTTCCCCACTGACCTTCAGATCTAAAAAGTCCCCGGGGTTGGCTTCGGAAGGGTTCCTTGTCTGGGGCAAAGATGACTCAGAATCTTCCCGACCACCACTAGATGTGGCACCTGAAAATCCAGATACACTTCGTGAGAAATGCAATAAGGACCAAGAGCAAAACAATTTAGTAACTGGCATTACGTGTTGGTCTCAAACCACAAAACGAGAAGGTTAGGAAGGTCATGCCTATGGCTTAAAATTACATTTATGTGTGTATGTATATATATGTATATAAACCAAGCCCACTACCGTGGAGTTAATTCCAACTCGTGGCAACCCCGTCTGTTACAGAACTGTCCCACAGTGCTCTTGGCTGGAACCACTGCAGAAGCAGGTTACCAGGCCTTTCTTCTGCAGCGCTGTTGAGTGGGTTCACACTGCCCACCTCTAAGCCAGCAGCGGACCACAAACTGTTTGTACCACCCAGGGACCTAATGAAAATTCTATTCAGGGATGAACTAACTACATTTGACTTAAGCCCTTGTTCTGACCCGTCACACAGATGCTCACTGATGAGCAAGTTTGGCTGTTGTTAACTTCACTATGTTTAAGCCAGCCTGAAGTCAGCTGAAGGTGTTTAAGGCGGGTCCAACTCTTTGAACAGTGACTGCAGGCGGAAGCAATACCTGCAGACTTGGCCCAAGAAGGAGGATTTTCTTCAGACGTCCCAAAGATGTTAGAGGCCATTTTGTTCCTCCTCACAGGTGGTTCTGCTGGCTCATCGAAGCCTAAGGAGAAATTGGATCCACCACCTGGAGGCCGCAGGACCCTAGGAACATCCATTTTAGGTGTCAGACCAAAACATTTCTTGACATAAATATTTGCAAACACTTTTCATTTCATTTCCCTTGTTCTTCCACCCAGGCCACCCCCCCATCATATAAAAAGCTATAATGAGAAAAAGGCATTAACTCCATCACAGCACAAATTCAATGCTGGATGTCCACATGCCAGATGCCACTTTACAGTATGTGTGGTAAGGTCGTCACACAAGACGGTGCGAACAGTCTGCAAGAATCTCAGACAGCAGCCTGGGAATGGTCAAAGACCCAGGGGACCCTTTCCTACTGGGCTGGACATAGCTGAATGCATTTGCAAAGAAGTTTTGAAGCATGTCTAGTTATTTATTCATCTAAAAAGTATTTCCATTTTGGAAGGAAATTTTCTTTGTTGGTTACCAGGGGTGAAAGGGGAGGGGAGGGAACACTGCTAGATAGGGAGAGACAAGTATTGATTTGGGTGAAGGGAAGGGCAATGTGCCAAATGTGAGTGATCAACACGGTAGGACTGAGGAAGAGGAAGATACAGAGAGGTGCATGGGAGACAACAAAGATGAACCCTTCCGCACACACAGTACTGCGATGTCAGTGATGGCAAGCACTGATCTATGGGTGGATAGATGGGGGCAGTGGGGAGTGTGTCCATGACCACGTACAGGGTTGGCAGACAATGTTTCTACACGTGTATTTTGATGTTGTGTAAGAATTTCCAGGTATATAGTACAGCTGACAAGGGATAAGGTTGTAGTCACTTCTTGGCCACAGCCAGCTACCTGGAGGGAGCGAGTAGTTGGACTTGTGGGTTCGGGACCATGGTCACAGGGGAATGTCAAGCTCAATTGGCATAACATGTTGTTGTTGTTGTTATGTGC